TATTTATATATATATATATTTCTATATCTAGATATACATTTATTATATGTATATTCTTTCAACATTCTAGCTCATTCTTGGTTTGTCTGTTCTGAGGTTGCAATGAGGCTGCCATGAAGCTGAAGACAGGGAGCTTAGGAAGGCATGCACTCCCCAAGCTATCATAAACCCAAGGAAAGCCGTTTAGCTGGCTTCCCTAGCCTCCAGTGCTTCTTAAAAGACGTCAAAGGTCTGAGCACAGGAGCCTCACTCTTTGGCTGTCAGCCCCAAGACGGAAAGGGTCCAGGAGAGAGTCAAGGAGACTCTCAATTCCTGACGGGATACTGAGCAGGCAGCAGGCCTCTCCTGCTCCAAGCACCCGATTTTTAGGCCTGGGAAGGATACATGCTTTACCTGAGCACTCCTCTTCCTCAAAATGTCAACCTCTGTGGACCCCTCCTTCTTGTCCCTGCCAGGCTCCCAACTCAAAGGAGCTCTTCTAAAAGAGGTCAGCAGCCACACTCTTTCCAAGTAAGCACTTTGGGAAGGAACCAGACACCCACTGCCTGGCGGGGAAGAAAGGGAGGGCAACGAACAGGCAGAAGGTGAGACAAAGAGGAGAGACACCAGGCCATCATTCCACCCGCTGGGGTCGGAACATGGACACCATCCGGAGATTAAATGTCCATCCTTAAAAATACAAAACAAAACAAAACAAACACGAGCCATATACTTTCTGGCCAAAGAAAATGAAGAGCTTTTAAGCTGGAGGCTCTTCTACCAATTACAAAGTGAGAACTGCCCTCTTGGTGGGTAGCCAGACCAGAGAGAGAGTGCCCGGGCGGGCGAGCTGCCCGGGGCAGGACACGGACATGCCGGATGCAACGGCCCTGTTGTGGTTACAATACAGTGAAAGTGAACACGGTTTTTATAGAACCACAAAGTAAAAATCAAGAGGGAGGGGGCAGCCTCCCTTGGCCTCGGGGACCCTTGTCAAGTACCCTGGAAGGGCAGGTGTGCAGGTCCCCAGAGGGCCGTGGCATTCTCCTGGGGTGTGGCCCATGGCCAGTGCATGGTTTCCCCCGGTCTTAACATCTGTTATGAAAAGTCTTTTAGGGTCAGGGCCTGGACTCGGGGCCACCACTTTAAATAAAGCCAGTGGTTAAGCACGACAAGGTGCGCCTCTCACCTCTGACCCCTCTTTACCACAGGCTGCCCGCCCTGAGCAAATAAATACACCCATCTCCAGGTACCCCTGCTGACCACAGTGAGCAGAGGGTTCCACGGCTTTCCTCAATCTTCCAGGTATAGAAAAAGGACGACTTGAGTCCGCCGACACAAGAGAAAGGAGCAGCTGTGAGGTAGCAGAGCCACAGCTGCGAAGACCCCTCCCCTCCACACCACAGCCAGGCCTGTGTGGGTGGCCCGTGTCTCCTGGGATGCAGACAGAAGGGACCCTAGCCCAACTGCACGGCCCAAGAGGCTGCTATTCCGTGCAAGAGCTGAGCTGTGCTCCTGGTGATCCCTCACCAGGTCCTGCTGGCTGACACTCCGGGCAGCTAGCACGGGGGAGGGGTCCTGAAGCAAGAACTGGGAAGCCCTCTTCTGTTTTTAGGGAAAATGGACTCTGGCCTGGCCCATACTGGAGAGCAGAGCAAGAAAAAACAGGAACTTCTTGAGAAACATGCCCCAGCTCTCCGCCCACAGTGTAAGGGGCTATGGAGGCCGGTTTTCTAAACACCATGCGGAAGGTGCATCCTGGCTCCAGGAAGTTAAGCTTCCTAGGCGAGGGGGGTTTTCCTTTTAAATCCAAGATCTGAGCGTGGTCACTGGGTGAAAAGAAACAGCAGGCCCAGAGGCCCAGTGTAGTGGGACAAAGAAGTTTCAGGTGGCCTCCATGAGTGACCGACCTGGAGAAGAGGAAATGAGAAGGCCTCCCTCTGCACTGTGGTCAAGACTCAAAGACCAGCCGCCCAGGGAGTCCCTCCTCCAAAGCAAATGGAAAGTGGAGAGAGACCATCACCAGGGCCTCCTCCCTGGCTTCCAGGCCTCAGAGCCACAGGAGAAAAGGGGTGTGGGAGCTAAGAATAGCTGGGTGCACTTGTGCTGCAGGCCCCAGACCCACACCCCATCCCAGGTTGTGCAGAGACCCTGCTCCTGTGGCCTGGTACCCATGTGGACACTATGGAGGAGCTGCTGTGTCTTTCTACCTCTGAGGGGGATGGGAACGGATGCCTCTCTCAACGACTTTCTGGGGAGGGTGAGGTGGATGACAGACACACCCCACCTGGAAATGCGCCCCGCTACCTGAGAAGACATCGGGCGACACGGGTCACGACTCATTCTGTGGAGAAAGGCTCGATGGCCTAGGCCGGAGACTGAGGGAGAGTCAGGGAAGCCTGAGCGCCCTGTGAAAGGAGATCTGTACCCCAGAGGTCCCCTTCCGATTCAACTGGGACATCCAAGAATAGAAACTAAGGCTGATTCACCCGTCTACGTAGATTCTCTCGCATCCCCACTGGTGAGGAGGCTGGCCCCCCAGAGAAGTCGCCACGTGCGCTGGCCGTGTGATAATGAAGCTTGAACGTGAACGCTCCTGGAGCAGGTGTGCCACCATTCGACCGTGACGAGTCATAAGTCTCCACGCGTGTGTGGGGTTTCAGGGAGCCCCCAGGCAGAGGTCTGAGGTGCAGGCAGTGCTGCCCAAGCAGGGGCACGGGTTACAAGGGCCCGTACTTGGTCTCATACTTGGACACGATGGTCTTGCACTTGCCCACTTCCTTGCGCAGCTCAGCCACCTCCGTCCGCAGCGCTGTGTTCTCCTTCTCCAGGAAGGCTGCCCGGATGGTGATCTGGTTCTCCTTCAGGCGCCGGGCATCCCGGGACCGTTTGGCTGCTACATTGTTCTTCTTGCGTCTCGTCCAGTACTTTTCATCCTGTGGGAAAGTGTTCTCTGTGGGTCTCTCCTCTTTCCCCAGGAGGGAACCCAACCTTTCCCCTCCTGCCGCACCCCACGCTCCATGCTCCTCATAAAACACATCTGGTGCAGCCAGACGAAAGCTGGGACCCCAGGGAAGGAGTTGCACGTGTCAAGGACATGGAGGGGCCCTAACCTTTCCCCAGGAAGGTGGAATAACAAACAGAAGTCCTTGGGTAGGATATGTGGTGGAGGGAAGGGGGTTCACTGGTAGCCTGCTCTGTGCTACTTCAATGTAAGGCACTGGCTGTATGCGCACTTGCCTTGCATTTTGGTTATGGCTAAGGGCCTGCATCCCTGCATCTGGTCCCCTGAATTTAAATCTTGGCTCTGCCTCTTATCAGTGGTGGAACTGTTTGAGTTCCTTAACCTCTCAATGTCTCCTGTCCTTCATCTTTACAATGGGGGATAAGAACAGTAACTACCTCACTGAGTTGTTTGAGGATTAAATGAGTTAACATGTACAAGGTGCTTACAACAGTCCCTGGCTTATAGTAAGCTTTACATAACATAGAAGGTAAATATATACAAATGTTTACCATTTTCATTGTCATTATTATTAAAGCCTCAGAAACCTGAGAGACAGGTATGGTTATTCCCATTTTACAGATGGAACTCTGAGACTCAGTTAGGCTTAGGTGGCAAAATAGAGTTTGAACCTAGGTCTGCTTGATTCCAAACCTTGGATGAAATACATTCCTTTGAGTTTTTCATAAAAAAGGATGGAAAGACTACAAAATCCTCCTCTCTCTCCCCCTCTCTGAGTTCCTACAAAAGCATCAGCTTGAAAGCTGCTTGCTCCTCCCTGGGGATGGCAACATACAACTATCTTTTGTCCTTCAAAGCAAGGGCTCGTTCAACCCCAGTTCCTGTGGCCTGGTGAGCTCTTGCCCGAAGGCTGGGCTAAAGCCAGGGAAGTGGGAACATCAACACAGTGGTGGCCGGTAAGAAAAGACAGAAGGTACAGGGAGTCGCACTGGGCCAAATGCTACCTGACTCCCTTTCTTTCTACCAACTGCTGCAGGATATGACTCTATGCTCTGAACTCATGCCTTTCTAAATAGTATCTGCGAGGAGAGAGGGTCCTCCACATAAAATCAAATGGGAAGAAACACAGCCCCTGGGCTCCTGAACCAACACTGTACCTTCATTTATAACAGATATCAGGTTACCTTCTGCTCATCGGGGACAAAGACCTTCTTGGCCTTTTTGATCATGGGCTGGGGCTTCAGGTCCTCCTCTGCAAACTTGTGCTTCCGAGGGTTGAAGAGCTCCCCACCGGGGACACTGGAGAGGACCAGGTCAGCTGGGTCAGGATTGAAGTTCACATCCACCTCCACACAGTTGGGGTCAATGGGACTGGGTGTCTCCCTCTCCTTTTCCAGGGAGGATTCTGAAAGACACAGAGGCAGGGGTTCCCAAAGCAGCCCGCTGGACAGAAAGACTCACTCATGTCACACACCCAGACACCTGCTTGAATCTCAAGGTTGCACCAGCCACTGCCACTTGGAGTGAAGAAAAACCACAGCAGCATCAACTCCCAAGCCAGACTGGCATAAGTGATTCAATTCAACAACACAAATATGGAAAGAATTCTTTCCTTTAGGAACAAAATGCTCAAAAGGAAACAGAGGTTCTCAAAAAAGACAGGATTTTCCGATTGTGTTTTTCCCCCCAGAAATGTTAAGCAAAACATTAAATCATTATACCCCCTTTACTTCCTGTGGTTTCAAGTTCTCAAATAATGAGAAACAGCCGAATTTCTCTGTGAAATACTATGAGCTAAGGACACAGACTGAACAATGAAATGGCTTCCATTTTTGAGTCCCTTGAGACATATCAGTCACTGTGCTCATTTAGTCTTTGGACAACTCTGAAAGACAGACAGGTGTTAACCTTATCTTACAGATGAAGAAACTGAGGTTCAGAGAAACAACCTGGTTTTCCCAGGGTCACACAGAGGGTAGGTGACCCAACTACAATTTGGGTCCAGGTCTAGCTGACTCTGAATCCTGTTCCCTGCCCTTTCTGGCTACCATTTTAGAGTGGACATTGGATTAAAGGCACTTTCAGAATTCAAAAGTTGCGTATTATTAGAAATAAGTTATATACAAAAAAACTGTATCTTTGGCTTGCTCATTCAATGCTACTGATAGGAATACACAAAATATTCAGTCAGTAGATATTTGTTAAATATCTACCATATGCCAGGTACCGTCCTTGCAAAGACAAACCAGTGAACAAAACAAGTAAAAATCCTTGCCTTCGTGGAATGTTATTCTAGCGGGGGAAGGCTGACATTACACAAGATAAATTAAAAATATCTATAAAAGTGTTGGATGCCATGTGGCTATTTGGGAGGAGAACATTTCAGAAAGAATGAACATCAAGTGTACCAGGATGTGCGCAGGCAAGCACTGGTATGTTCAAGAAACAGAAGGGAAGCCAATGTGGCTGAAGCGAAAGGGTGAGAGGACAGACTGACACGACTGGTCCAAAACATAAAATATAGGGCTTTTAATCCCAATAAAGCAGTGGTTTTCAACAGGGACGATTCTGTCCACATAAAAGAAGGGGGGGGGGGTGTTCTACTGGCATCCAGTGGGTAGAAGCCAAGGATGCTGCTAAACATCTATAATGCACAGGACAGTCCCTCCCCCTCCCCCTCCCCCAACAACAACAAAAAATTATCTGGTCCAAATGTCAATAGTGCCAGTGATTCTGACTTTTGTCCTGAGATGGGAGAAGCCACTGGAGGGTTCTGAGCGGAGGTGTCACATGATAGGTTTTCACCAGATCATGTACTCACTGGATCCTATTAGAGGAAGTTAATTACAAAGAATTGTAATCAGGAGAGTGAAATGACCAGGGACCAATGTGGTAACTATGAGAATAGTGCAGCCCTCAAATTCTACACCTGTAAAACAAAGAGCCAAGGTGCCAAAGACTAACAACTAGAACTCCCACTCCCTGCTGGGAGGAGCAGACATGGCTACAACCACTTTGTACACTATTTGGAGGGATCTACAAAAGCTGAAAGTATACATGTCTGATGACCCAGCCATACCACTCCTAGGTAAATGCCCCACAGAGATGCACAGATGTATTTATCAAAAGACACACACATAAATGTTCACGGCAGTGCCACGCATAACCTAAAACTAGGAACACCTCCAATGTCCATCAGCCTCAAAATGGATAAGCTGTGGTGTGATCATACAATGGAATATCATCCAAGCAATGAAAATGAACAAACTGCCATAGGCACGATTCTCACAAATCTGAGAAAAGAAGCGAGACAGAGCACACATACCACTGATGTCTTTTAACAGAAGGAACTGAAAAATCAGAAGAGGAAATGCTACTTTCATTTCTACCACGTGTAGAATTCTTTAATATCAATCTTACTTTACCTGTATTGTGGTTTTCTTCTGCCACAGAGCTATTCCATAAGCATGTTTTGTAAATATATTTTGTTAGTGTAAAGAGATTCTGGGGGCACCTGGGTGAGTTAGTTGGTCAAGTGTCAGACTCTTGATTTTGGCTCAGGTCATGATCTCATGGTTTGTGAGTTTGATTCCCATGCTGGATGCCATGCTGACAGCATGGAGCCTATTTGGGATCCTCTCTCTCAAAAAATAATAGATAAAATTAAAAAAAAACCTCTGAGGTGTCTGGGTGGCTCAGTCGGTAAAGCATCCGACTCCTGATTTCGAATCAGGTCACGATCTCACGGTTGGTGAGTTTGAGCCCTGCCTTGGGCTATGTGCTGAGAGCGCGGAGCCTACTTGGGATTCTCTTTCTCCCTCTCTCTTCCCCTCCCCTGCTCATGCTCTCTCTCAAAATAAATAAAGCTTAAAAAAAAAAAAGATTTTGATGCCCACATAATTTGTATGTGTATTATCAAGCTAGCTATAAGCACCTATAAATGCCAGAATATAAACATAATTTGACTTATAATAGGTAAAAACAAACATAACATATAATATACACATATATTCAATTAATGTACAATTCCATGTACGATATACACAATTCCATGCATCTTTGGTGATGGAAATAAGGACAGTGATTATCTCTGGGTAGTAATGACTGAATGGGGCCACAAGACATTTCTTGGATACCAACAGTGCTCTATAACCTGATCTGTGTGGTAATTACGTGGGTGGGTTGACTTTGTGAAGATGCACCGAGCTGTGATATGGGCATTTCTGTATGCTGTATTTCGTTAAGAAGGATAACTTAAAAACAAAACAAAGGCAAATGCTTCGCTACCTAGATTGCCTACGGTATAAAATGTGGGCTCATTTACAGATCTGCCCCCTCCCCACCCACGGACCCAGCCTTCCAGGATAACCTGAGGAGCACAAAATGAGCTGCCTTCAAGCAAGAATTCAGCTGCAATCAGCGGAAGCCTCTAGATCTAATTTTACAGGAGAAAAACAAGGGGCAGAGGAACATGTTAAATGGCACTACGGGGATACAGTCAGAGAAATCTAGCACGTGTAAAACTCTACAGGACCAATGATTGAGTTTCTTCAACAAATAAATTGCAAAGAAAAAAAGGAGAGGGGACCCTGTAGATTACAGAAGATTAGAGACATAACTAAATGAAACGTGTGGGTCTTGTTTGGATCCTGATTCAGACAAACTGCAAAACAGTAACATTTATGAGACAACTTTTTGGAAATTTGAATGCTGATGGATTTATGGTCAATTTTATATGGAAAACGGGTATTTTTGTTATGTTTTTTGAAAGAACCCTTACATTTTACATACATATTGAAATATTTACAGGTGAAATGATATAGTATCTAGGATCTGACTTTAAATCATCAGGTGAGAGAATGGAAGAGGCTATAGAAAACAAGACTGATTATGAGTTAAGAATTATGAAAGCCAAATGATGGTTACATGAAGGTTCATTATAGTTGTCTCTTTTGTATTTGAAAATTTTTCCATAATAAAAAGTAAAAAAATAAAGTAAATAAATATAGAGCATGAGACTTCCTTGGGTGTGGGTCCCCTGGGTTCCATACTGGCTCCTGGGATCCTTCCCGGGATCCACTGGTCTGTATGCCTTTGTAGGGCTCCCTGGGGCAGGGACCATGTCTCTTGTGAAGGGTTCATGTCCAAGCATCATGAAAACAAACCAACCAACCAACCCACCAACCCACCCATCCCCAGAGGTAAAACAGAAAAAGGACAAGAGGAGAGGATAAAGGAGGAGTCCTGAAGGTGATGTCTGTCCTGGCAGCAGGAATGCCTTCCTTGTGCCAGTGCCTAAGCAGTACGTGGCTATGGAGTCAGGCATCCTGGCTTTAAGTATTTGCCTCCGCTGCCTACCAACTGTGTGACCTTGGGCAAGTTAGTTAACTTCTTGGTTTCCTCACCTAAAAACACAGGTTTTAGAGTATCAATCTCTTAAGGTTCTTGTGAGAATTATGTGTTAATGCCTGGTACAGAGTAAGTGGTAAATAAATGTTAGTTGATGTTGTTGTTGTTGTTGATCTTGTTGTTGTTATTACCAGTGTTACAACTACTACTATTATTACTCCTGCCTGAGCTTCCCAATAAGCTGTGGCCAAGTGCACGCAGAGGTAAAGAGCAGTACTGAGGAGATGCAGGATGGGGTCTGTGTCTTGTAAGGCTCAGACTGGAAGGGCTCACTCCACTGTCCTAACCATCTGCAGCACACCAACCAACAGAAAGGCAGCAACTGCGCTGAGGAACTTCTATTTTTATCCCCAGCCTTAGCGGACTGCGCTGAAGGGTGGGGAGCAGAGGAATTCTCCACACGGCAAGCCCCCTAGGACCTGCTCTGAGAGAAAGGCCTCCCTGGGTGTGTGGACTTGAGCAGCCCTCAGTGGGAACTGGGCTTCTTGGGCTGGGACAGGTGGCCAGGCACTAACCTGTGCTGGACGCGGTTTCAGAAGGCTGAAAGACAGCAGTGGAGGAGGATGGTGGGGATGCTGTGGAAGAGCTGGCTGACTCCTTCCCTTCTAGCTCGGCCACGGGCAGCAGCAGGTTCTGGGCCAGGTGGGTGGGGCTGGCGGGAATGCCGTTCTCCAGCAGGAACTCATCCAGGTCCATGTACTCCAGGTGGAAAGACTCGCCATCGTACGGAATGGTCTTGTCCCAGATGGGCGGCATGAGGGAGGCTGAGACGGCCATGGTGCTGGCTGCTGCAGCCTCATCTTCCTCCAGCTTTTCCTTCCCTTTTTCTTTATCTGCAGACACAGAATCTGTGATGAGACACCACACAAGAGGGTAACTCAATCCCAGGAGGCAAGCAGTGGGCCTCCCTGGGCTGACTCCTCTCTCTCAGAGCCCTGATCCATCCCATCAATTTCAAGAGCCCCCTCTGCCTTCTAGTTATAACCTGTTGTTTGACCCAGGCCCACTGGCCTCCTTTAGAGATGGCTGCATGACCTCATCCATGCTTGGGCTTGCCAGAATGTTCACAAGTTCCAGGGCCTGATGTGGTCCCAGGTTTAATTCAGAATAGGCTGTGGGACTGGCATCTGCAGGGGACAGGTTTCAGGGAAAAAAATGGAGTTTCTGGTATCTTAGTGATATTTTAGGAAAGGATATTTTAGGATTCTTCAGGCCAAGAACTTTTGTGTTCTCCTGTCCTGTCCCCTCCAGCTATTCTTCTCCACAGCAACCCAGAATAGGGCTTGAATCCCAGCTCTGCCACCCACTTGCTATGATGTGTGATTTTAGCCATGTTACTGAACCTCTCCTGGCCTCAGTGGACTCCACGGTAAGGATAAAGCAGACTCTTTGGTGAAGACTAGAGGTAACTTTTTTTTTTTAAGGTTTTAGTTTTTAAGTAGTCTCTCCACCCAATGTAGGGCTTGAACTTACAACCCCAAGATCAAGAGTTGCATGCTCCATCAACTGAGACAGCCAGGTGCCCCTAGAGATATGTGTCCTGTAGGGCTCCCGGCACACAGCAGGCATCTGCTATTACTGTGAGCTCATTGAGGGCAGGAACTATGTCTGACTCGTTTCTAGATCTCAAGGGCCACTACAGGAGCAAGCGAAGGGAAAATGAGCATACTGAATGAAAAATGCTGGGTCTGCGAACTGCCTGCCTCCCTTTAGGTTTATTGGATAGAGAGAGCCTGGAGCTGTCTTTTCAGGACCTTTTTCAGAGCAACCGTTTCAAGAGACCTCTATCCCTGAATAAGCTGAGAAGACTGAAGGCAGGTTTTCTGGGAAGAAGGAGAGGCTGGAGCTGAAGAAGAAAAGCTTGTTTCCATTCAAAACAAAGCTAATCAATTAGTGGAGACCGGATCCCACCTAATTGTCTCAGCCCAAAAGTTATGCACGTAGATATCCAAGAAAGGGCAAACTAAGAAAAAAAGATGAAAGAAACGTGACAAGGTTAGAAGGAAATCAAAGTGACAGGGAGGCTAATCAGGGAAGTAGGAGATAAAATCATGACAAGTTCATAATGGGCTTTCAAATTGAGGGAGACAACTTTGAACTCTGGATTCTGAAGTGAAAAAGAGAAATCAAATATGATTATGTTGGAAATAAAGCAGTCATGCATGGACTCCTAGGCCACAGTCAGTCAAAAAGCAGCCTGTTGGTCCAATAAAAATGGACACACCCAGTGTGTTAAAAAGGTGGAGGTTTTAACAAACAGAATTTGGTCATGGCTTCTAACTTGAATTGTTACAACTGCCTTCTGTACCAAGCTTTGGTTTAAAACCAAATGGGAAGTAAGAAAGCCAAGCTTTGGTGGGCTGGGTGGGCCAGATGGCCTCCCTGTTCTCCTCCTCTGAAATCCTGACTCTATATTCTGTTCAGAAATAACTGTGACCAGTGCTGGGTGGGATCATGGGGATCAAAGGAGGTAGGAAAAGGAAAGAGGTAGAAAAACAGCTATACTGAAGGACAAGTAACAATAAATTCGAGGTTTTACCTGGCATAAGCAATTACGAGTAGATACCTTTTTCAGTTTTTACTTTTTAAGTTTATTTATTTTTAAATTTATTGTTACGTAAGCTCTGTGCCCAACGTGAGGCTTGAACTCAGGACCCCACTATCAAGAGTTGCATGCTCTACTGACTGAGCCAGCCAGGAGCCCCAAGGATACTTTTAATCAGTGTTTTTATAAGATGGACTTTTAATTATAAGAGATAATAAAGAACTAGGCCCATCACTCAGGTCACAGGGATTGACATCACTGATTGCCAGTGATACAGTAAAAAGCACCAGGCCAGACTGCGAGTTGTAAGGCCTAGCTAGGTGACCTTGAGGAAGCATCCTCACTTCTGAGCCTCAGCTTTCCTCATCTGGGAAGTGGGGATAATACCTTATAGGACTAGTATGTTAGACTAAGTAAGATTATGTCAAAGTGCTTTGTAAGCACGATACAAATGTAAGGCAGAATTATTGTTTTGGATGATTGTTACTTGGTAATCTTGAATAAGAACCTGAGAGATGTGTACACCTGTTCCAGCAGCCTGTCTCATCCTCACATCCGGGATAATGCAGTGCCTTCAAAACAAAGAAAAGGGTCTGTGCATATGAGGTTCCAAAGCAGGAGGGGGGAGCCTGGCCTTACCTGATGTGCTGAATCTATTTATAACCCAACAATGACAGCCATAGAGATGGGAGCCTCAGAACACACCCAGAAAAACAAGAGAAATGGCATTTTTAAGAAGAAAATAAACTCAAGACAGGTCATTCACAGAGGGCTTATTTTCCTTCCCAAATCCTTGAACTACACTGATGGTTCTTAGAAATGCAAAGATCTCAGATAGAAAGCAGACCTCAGTGCCCCTAAAACCTCACAATAGGTGGCACTCCTTCTGTGCCTTGAACCTCCTGTTCTCAGGCCGAAAAACAGGGCCAAACCTGCTTTCCACACAGGCCCCAGGGACCTTTGTGGCCTAGGAAACCAGAAGAAGCCCAGCCCTGCTATAGTGGCCCCGAAGTCTAGACTCAGCCCCAAACAACCAGGTGAAGGGCCACAGTGGCCTCATTCTGACCCTCGTCCCTCTACCTGCCTCCTGCCTGGCCCCATTCTCCCGCTGGGAGAGCGCCTCGCATCCCCTCTCCTGACACCCCTCCCCCACCTCAGCATCAGAAAAGCTCCCGTGTGTACCTAGTAGCCGGGGATAGGCACACGCAGGGACGAAGTAAGGTCCTGCTCCCAGGATCGGGGAAGTCCATACACAAAGACAATTGGCGCTTCTCAAACTTTAGTGGACTTTGGAATCACAGAGGTGGGGTGCTCCTTCAAATGCAGATTCCTGTCCCAACAGCCACAGATTGGGTGGGCGATGGGTGGGGCCCCGGAACCAGCATTTTAAACTAGCATCCCAACTGATTCTGGTGCAGACATCCTCAGGGAAGGCGCCCTGGAGCGTCCTTTAAGTGGCTGCTACGACCCCCATCAGCCTTCTCAGTAACCCTTCCACGTCGCGCGCCGTGAGGCTGCCCGAATGAACCTCCTCACCGTGACCCCCACCCCACCCTCTCCCTCCTGCCCCTTCCCCGCCAACCCCCATCTGCCCTAGCCTCTCTCGACTCACCCCGACCTTCTCTTCCCAACCCCCTTGCCTCGCCCTCCAGGCCCCTCCGCAGGACAGCTAGGACCTGACCTCCGACCTCCCGGTCCCGCCCTCACAGGGCCCCGCCCCTGCGGAAACCCCGCCCCCAGGCGCGCGCGGACCCCCTCCCCTCACCGAGGCGCGCCTCTCGCGGGGGGTTCTCCATCAGCTTCTTCAGGACCAGTGGGAAGGAGCCCGGCAGGCCCCTTTCTCCAGTGGTGCGCCCCGGTCCCGGGCCCGGCCCCGCCTGCGGCTCCACAGGCGGCTTCTTTCCACCGCCCGCGTCCGACATCGTGCCCCGCGCTCTGCTCGCGCGCCTCGCCTCCCCCGCCCGCCCCCCGAGATGGGCCGGAGCCGTGCGACCCGCCGCAGCTGCCGACACGGGCAGCTACTGCGCAGGCGCCCAGCGGCACCCCCACCTCCCTCCATCCCTACCCCGCCTGCAGACTGGCTCTAGCACATTAATTATTCATGAGGCCAGGCCAGCATCCCCGGATCGCAGCTTTGGATTGGTCCACCCTGTGAGGAGGGCAGGCGCAGCCTTCTGGGCCGTGATTGGTTAGGCCGCCGGGGTAAGCGAGGCACGTGTGGGGCCAGGTGAGGAGTAACGCCGGAGGCCCCGCCCCGTCCGCCCGTGTCACCTGATTGGCGCCTGCCGGAGTCGGTGTCACGTGCCCTCTTCCGCCGCAGCCCCTTACCCTCTACCAGTGGTTTCACCATCGCCTCCCTCTTCATAACCCCCGCTCTCCTCCCAGACCACCGTAACCGTTTCCCCTTCACTCTCATCGCAATCTCGCCACCTTCCCGACGCGCCACTGAAGACAGGCTGGGCTGGGAGTGGCCAGGCCGGCCGAGGGAGCCTATCAAATCGCCCGCTCGGGCCGCACGGCCGTCCCCCCGCGGGTCACGTGGAGCCGCAGCCCTAGTCTAGTGGGGGGAGGGGAAAGAAGAGGAAGGCACCGAGCAGCCAATGGAGGGCGGGGGCGGGGTCCGGGGCGTTGCACGAGGCGCAGCACGTGCGGGGCTGCGGCCCGGAGGGGAGGGGCGGGCTTTTTTGTTCCGGGGACTTTGCCCAGGGTCGTGGGATAAGAACGCAAAACCAGCGCGGTGGCACCCCCTCCTCCCCCGCGACCCAGAGGTTGGCTGAGGGCAGGGCCGCAGACGGCGACCTGCCCTGCCCGTACGGTTGGCCAGAGCTAGCTTGGCCGCTGCTGGGGGGTTGGGGCGGAGGAGGTGTCAGGTTCCCCGCTGATCCGGGTTTCTGGTGCGGGTGTGGCGGCCAGATAAACACTAGCGTGGAGGGAGCATTCTTGAGGCCCGCGGGTGGAGAGAAAGGGCCGGCCCCGAGCCGGGGCCCGGGTACACGCTTCCGCCCTCCCACTTACTAGCTTATGACCTTGGGAAAGTCGCGTGGCTTCACTCAGAGCCTGTTTCCTCATCCATACAATTCAGGAGTTGGGCTAATCTGTAAAATCCTATACAGCTCTGAAATTCTGTTCCTCTGCAGGACCTTTCCTTCCTTTTCCTGGGGAAAAGCGAAGCAAAACAATATTCTTTTACACAGGGTACCGGTTACACGCTTTGTGGGAGAACCTCCTTTTTTTCCCCCCTTAAAACACAAAAACCCCCCGGGCCTTCTTCCGGAAACACGTAAAAATGTAGTATGTGAGAGGGTCCACAAAGTGTGGAGGCGGTAGAGGAAGCTGCTCCTGTACAGCGCCCAGGAACTTTGCATCTCATGAAAGTGTAAATGATGCTCTGCTTTGCACCCAAACAGTACTACACGCTCCCTGTCTAAACTCCCAGAGCCGGGTAGGAGTGGGTGGGGAGGGGGTGCTTTGGCCCGTTTATCCCGTTTCTCACCAGTGAGCCTGGGCCTTCAGTAGTCAGGCTGGGGAATGGCAGCTTGCAGTCCTTGGGGCTAGGTGTAGGAGCAGCACTCAGCTAGCTGAAAGCTGTCAAGCTGATGCAATCAGAATTTTGCTGGGAGTTGAGGAAAGAAGTTGGGCCCCTGAGCAGGCCTGGAAAGCAGGAGGTTTGAAGGGCCTCTGGGGGATGGTTGGGACAGGGTGATGGAATTTGACTCCAAATTCAAGTTCTGACTGCCATGCTCATTAGACTTCGGTCACTTTCTGGCTCATACCTCCAGCCAATTGCTTCACCTCGCCAGGCCTCCTTTCCTAATATATCAAATGGAGATAGGACAGGATCTACGTTGTGGGGTTTCCATAAGCCAATGCACTAGCACAACTGTAACCCTGCAACAACTGGTATTTTTCGTAATTTTACTAAAACTCTTGGGTACAACTCTACTGCTTGATGTATGCCCGTGTGATTCTCTGTTTAGTAGAAATACCAAAATTGTGCACAGAAAATCTGTTGTGTTGGAGACTTGTTCGTGAGAGTTCTGAGTGTGGCCGAGCAAAGGAATCTTTAGGGGGCACCCAGCTGGCTCAGTTGGTGGAGCATGGGACTCTTAATGTCAGGATTGTAAACTCCAGGTTGGGTGTATAGATTACTTACAAATAAAATCCTTAAAAATAAGGATATCTTTAGGAGAAACTGACCTAGAGGTTTTTAGAAACACATTTCAAAGGGTAGCCCAAGGAAATAGACATGATTTTTTTTTTTTTTTTTTTTTTTTTTTTTTTTTTTTTTTTTTTTTTTTTTTTTTTTTTTTTAATGGCTACTTTGGGGCGCCTGGGTGGCTCAGTCGGTTAAGCGGCCGACTTCGGCCCAGGTCAGGATCTCACGATTCGGGAGTTTGAACCCCGCATTGGGCTCTCTGCTGTCAGCACAGAACCCGCTTCGGATCCTCTGTCTCCCTCTCTCTCTGCCCTTCCCCTGCTTGTGCGCGCTCGCTCTCTCTCTCTCTCTCTCTCTCTCTCAAAAATAAATAAACATTAAAAAAAATGGCTAGATTGACCATGGAGAGACTTGCTGCATTAGAGTTAAATGTATATTTTCATGGCTAATATGACATCACTGAAGGGGAAAAAAACGTTTGGATTTGAGATCATTTAAGAGTGGAAAGTTTTAACATTTGCTTATAACAAAGGTGGGGTGTAGTAAGAAGGAGTAAAGATTTAGGTATCTTTGTAAGCTACAGTTATCCAGAGGGCATAATGCCAACTCCACTTACCACCCAGCCTGGAGCGACCAACCTAACAGGCCAACGACACTGGTGAGCAAGACAAGCAGGTTAGGGCTTTACAACTCAGTTTTGATTCCATTCTCTTTTCGTGTCCTGGCACTCCCTAGAAAGGGTTTTTTTTTTCCTCCTGGATAACCGCAGGCTAAATGGTGTGTCACAAGCACTGTGGGAACACTACAAACGTGTTCTCTCTCGTGCTTGCTTGTAAACTAGGAGGTTAGCTACATTGTGGACCGGCAGCTTCAACAGCACCTCCCTGGAGGTGGGGCGGGAGCCATTCCATTGGGGCTTCCCTGGCCGGTAGCCCCCTGTCTACCCCCGTCTCCTATCAGTAAAGTGGGAACAACATCGTGGCCTCACCCCTTCTCCTAGAGGAGGAATAGGTGTTGTGAGGAGTAATTAGCTGATTTCCACAGTGTCTGGGAGCCCTACGAAGAAGAAAATCTCCATAAAAAGAACATGTCATTACATGGCTAAGACTCTAAAGGTATGAAGCGGTACCTCAGTGTTCTTTAGTGACAGGGTTTGAATTCAGTGACGTCTCGAGGGAAGCGTGGTCCAGGGGGCGGCAGTGAATTTGTGGGCTTGAAGGCAGGCCTGGTTGGGTCTCCCCTCAGCCCGCTGACTAGCCACCTGGCCTTGGGCAAGGGGCTTCTCCTGCCTAAGTCTCGGTGATTTTTCTCTCGGAAACAGATGGGTGTGTTTACGTCACAGAGCAGTTATGAGGATAATGTGTGACAAGCGCTCTCAGGTGCCCGCCTGAACAGTGTATGGCATGGAGTGGGTGGGTCTCCACCCTTCCCCTTCATTCAGGTGCTGTTGGGTCAGGAGCAGAATTATTTTGGGGAGGCTGGGTTCTAGAGTCAAACTACAGCAGAGACATGGATGTGAAATGACCATTTTCCATAGCGAGGCTGGCTTTAAATTCTCCCTAGTGTTCCGGAAACCTGCTGACCAACCCCAGTTCAAAACTTAACTGAGCATATACAGAACAAGTACCTTTCATTAAGCCATCGTGTAGACTTGGAGTATTATTTAAACTTGAAGTTCAGAGGAGCTAAAACTCCAGCAAGGGAGCCTTTGGCCAGATACCCCACGATGATCTATTTGGCCACATGCTCAGCATCTGGTAGGACAGACCTCATCTTCTGGCCTACTGAGATGTGACGTGAGCATGGTGCGTGTGCGAGCAGGACAATGCGAAGGCTTCCCCAGAGCTCCAACAAAGCCCGGTTATCTGTGTGCTTTGCCAACACCCAACGCAGGGGGGCACAAAACTTGGTTCAAGGTAGTAGATAAAAAGCTGTTGGCTGGCTTTGTTGGCAGTGCTGCTGGTAGGAAGGTTAACAAAATCTTTCAGAGCCAAGTCATATACATTTGGAATGTTATTAACGTTAAGGAACAGTCGTCGTGTTGATTCACAGCGGAACCTGGAATAACAAACAGGAGCCATCCTTGTGGCAAATCCCCCAGCGCAAGCCTGGCCAACGACCCACATACCTGTGGCTGCATAGTTCTGGGCTGTGGTGTGTACCTTGGTCTTAGTGTGTTCTAGGGGAGAAGTGGTGGGTGGAGGCTCTTCACTAACTCTTGCCCATCTCTTCAATGCGAGTTTCCTGTTTGGCTTGCATCTTGTCCACTCCCAGGGTTCGGATTACAGATGGAGAGCTGCCCTGAGAGGGCCATTTCCAGACAAGCCATCACCTCCATCCAGCCTGTGCCACGTCTCAACAGCCACCGCCTGACAGCCACGGTGTCTCCAGTGAAAGCTGTGTTGACGGCACAGTGGTAGGGTGTGGGCTCTAGAACCAGACCATCTGGATCCGGTTCCTACTTTGACTACTTCTTGTGTGACCTTAGGCAAATTACTTAACCTCTCTGTGCCTGAATGTCAAAAGGAGACAATGCAGGCATGCTGCGGAGAACAGCACTTGGCACAGAGCAAGTGCTCCATTGAAGTTAACTCAGCATAATCACATTTTGGGTTGTTCTGGGAATACCTCATTCGTCCCCACTTGCCACTTCCCCAAGAAAAGTGGGGGTGGGCGGCGACCTTCAGGCAGGGCGGTAACAGCTTCACTCTTCTTCATGATTTTCAGGGCCCTGCAGGCTCTGCCCCCTGAGGGTCTCTCCAACCT